GCTAGTAAAAGTTTGTTGCCTCAAGAGCAAAATTATTTTGCTACAGAATTAGAATGTGCTGCAATAGTATAGACTATTAAACATTTTTATAGTTATTTAGAAGCTACAGAATTTATCTTAATAATTAATTATTTAGCATTAAAATGGCTTAAAACTGTAGAACCTAAAAAACATATCTGATGCTAGATTTTAAAACTTCAACCTTACTACTTTATTATTATTCATAAACCAGATAGAATTCACTCTAATGTAAATGCTTTCTCAAGACTTTAATATAAAAATTTTTAAATAATGAACTTAGATTAATATCATAATCTATTTAATTATTTAAATTCTAATACTATATCTTCAGACTTTACTACTTATTAATGGAAACAACTTACTAATCAGGCTAAATATTTTATGATTCAAAATGGACTTTTGTATAAAAAGAACAAGAAATTCATAGACAAACTATTTAGAGTTATTAAATAGACAGAAGTGAACCCTATTATATATATAATGCATAATCATTCTACTGCAAGATATTTAGAAATAGATGCTATGTATTATAAGATCTCAAAAAGATATTATTAGGATTAAATATATAGAGATATTAAAAAATATATCAAGACTTGTGATCAATGCCAAAGAAGAGGCAAAGTTAGAAAAAAAAACCTTTACACCTTATAAAGATAGAACAAGGCTTTAAAAGAATTGAAATTGACTTAGTTGGACCACTACCTATTACTACTCACAATAATAGATATATTATTGTTGTAACAGACTATTTAACCTGATGGCCAAAAGCTCAAGCTATGTCAGATACAAGTGCTCTAACTCTTGCAAAATATATCTTTACAAAAATAGTTTGTAGACATGGAATATCCAAGATTATTCTTTTAGACCAAGGACCTAACTTTCAAAGTAAGATAATTAGAGTTCTATGTGAAAACTTTCTTATAAAATATAAGTTTTCATTACCATATCATCTACAGACAAATAGTATAGTAGAAAGACTAAATAGAACATTATGTATATCATTAGCAAAAGTAGGAACTAGTAAAGATTAGAATATAAATCTTTTTGCTATACTTTTTGCTTATTGAACTAAAAAGCATGCTACTATTGGATATACACCTTTTTAACTAATTTATGAAAGACAAGCTGTATTATCTATAAAATTAATTTTGGTAATAAAAGAAACTAATACAGAAATAAACTTAGAAGACAGTATTTTGGCATGAGTTTTTGATTTAATAGACAAACTACCAGAAGCACAAGAACAAGCCAAACAAAATACAAAAGTATTACAAGAAAAACAAAAAGAAAGACATAACAAAAGACTAAAACCAAAAGAATTTAAAGTTGGAAATAAAGTTCTAATCTAACAAAAGAATCTAGAAGCCTCATGCTCTGCAAGTTTGAAGATAAAAGAACTGGACTATTTATTATCTATACTAAATTAGAAAATGATGCTTATCAACTTTGCAATAATAAGTGACAAATTTTACAAAGATACTATAATAGTGATCATTTAGAATGATATCATGAATGACAGAACTAGAAACCCCAATTGAAACTGTGCCTTATGAAACCTAATATTTTATTATTATTTTATAAACATTACTTATTTATTTATTATTTATTATTTTATTAATTATTATTTTTATTAATTATAAAAACTTAGTACAAAATTAAAAAAAAAAAATAATAATTACAATTAATATAAAAATTTTATTATTATTATTATTACTATTTACAAAATATTACAAAAAAAATATCTTTGTTCCTCTCTTTCCCTCAACTTTTTTTGCAACTTCTGAACTTTATCTTCTAAATTTGCAACCTGAACTCATAGCAAATTTCTTTCAGTACTACTTATTTGTAAATAGTACTTTGCTGCCATTCTTGTTGAATCACCTCGAAATTCAATAAAGCCTTTTTACTTACTTTAGTTTCCAAATTTGTAACTTGATTTTGGAGAAAGGACAAATGAATAGAAATTGCTTGGTTTTTGCTTTAGTGAGGCATCTATAAAAGCAAAAAATCAAAATATATATTCTAAATAGTATACTTAAAATGATAAAAAGAAAAATATTGAAAACAGTTAAGTGTTGGCCACCATCTAATTGCAAGAAAAAAAAAAGAAATAACAAAAAAAAAATTGTCTACTAAGGTCAAAACAGATTATCTGTCTAGCTCACCCAAATAGACAACCAGCCTTATCCTAAAATGCTTTAAAATTAGGCAGAACAAGCTTATAGCCCAAAAAGTATATACATCTTAGTGAAAAACAACAGATAAAAAGACAAGTTTATTGACAAAAAAGGTTTTTTAACAAGAAAACTAATAGAAAAAAAAGAAAATAAGAAGTTTTGTAAACCAAAATACAGAAAAAATTGAACAAAATAAATAACAAAAACAGATACAATAAAAAATTAGAATTTTATTGATAGAAAAAAACAATCATAACAAAAACAATGTAATTACTAAATTTAGAAATAGATAAACCAACTAGAATACATTTACTAATTTTAAACAGATTAGTAAATAAGGTTTAGAGACCTCACTTTTTAAGAAGAGAAAGACACAAAGAACATTATAATTACAAAAATAAAACAAACTAGATATGTGGTGATACAAATTTTGTCTAATTTTTAGAACAAAGAATTGTTTAACATATATTGTAAACAATATAACTATAAATAGAATACAAAGAAAAGCATGTATTAACAAAATTTAGTTGCTATTAAATGTAAAACAGCATGAGTTAAATAAACTTAATAAGAGATAGCATAGGTTAAATGAATTACAAATTACTGTACTAAAGATTGCTTAGTATAGAAGTGTAAAAAGAATTTTAACAGATATAAAAAAGCTAAAGAAATATCTTCCTTTAATATTAATTTTCTCTACACTTTTGAACTAAACCTCTAATAATCTTAACAATAATGAACCTATCACAGGACCTACCAACATGGGTTACTCTATAAATTTATTACAAAACCCTTGAATTACAGGACCTCTGTAAACAGGTTCAATACCCAGATACAATTATATGTAAAGCTAATAGTACTACTCTTATTCTTAATATAAAAATCTTATATATATTACTAACAACTTATAATAATGATCTGTTAACTAAAATAAAAATGGATTTACTAAATACAACACCAAGTCAGATTTTCCCAGTTACTATACCAATAACTATCAATATGTTATGAGAAAATTGTTATACCAAAATTACTAAGGAATACTGGTTAATTACATGCTCATCTAACTATAACTGGATATATTGCTTAGCTTATAGCTATTATCTAGGAGCTCTATTATTAGAAAATCTATATTATGACAAGTTTATAAAGGCAAGCAAAATCAAGATCTAAACTAGAATCTATTGATTGTTCAAAGCTATTAGTTATGAACAAATATATCAAATAAAGAAACTAACTCTAAAACATATTGATGATATAAGTAGAGTTAAGTTTAATCAATTAGTTGATTTTTGTGAATAGTATAAAAGTTGTAAAAATTTTGTGGAACAAAATTCTTAAGGAGAAAAAAATGTTACAAAATAGATTTTAACATAGTATATTATATAATAGTATTAGTAGTTATATATATTTATTATTGTATCTTATATTTATTATTAATTATTAGTTATTAGTTAGTTGATAGTTATATTATATAATAGATAGATAAAATAATCTTAATTGGGTATTAGAAATGTGATACAGCTATATGACACTAAATAACATCTGTGATATTACTATTGTCTTATAAATCCCAAGTACTACTATACAAGTTTCATGTATCTTATCACCAATTTACTGTACCAATTGCCTCAATACAAGAATCCCAAATATCTCTGACATAAATCCTAAGTGTTTCCTCATGAATCTCAAGTATCTCTACACAAATCCCAAATACCTTTACATGGATCCAAGTGCCTAAACACAAGCCCTAAGTGTTTTAAGCATGAATGACAAATAACATAAACAATATCATTAGTTGCCTCTGCACAGTCCCCATTACTCCAAGCACAGTATCATTTAATGTTGTTTAAACCTCTATTGTTTTAAGTACAATAATATCTAATATTTTTTGAACCTCCATTACTCTGAGTACAGTATCAAATAATGTTGCTCAAATCTCCACTATCTCTGGTAAGTAAAAAGATATATAAAGGATACCTTTTACCCTTTTCTGTCAAATTCTAAGTTCTTATACTTCAATCTAGATCCTTCTACCTTTATCTCTAACTTGTAAAAATAATATTCTCTCTCTAAAGTAATTTCTATAGACAAGATTGTCACTGTGTGTTTACTTAATAAAAGTTAATCTATATACTGTTACTATCTCAAACCATTTGCCTGCTGCTGTGTAGTAAAGTAAACTACTACACCTCCATCCCATATATATTTGCAATAGTTAATCACTGTTCTGGGTAACCTTGTTACTTGGTTGTATTGTACCAAGAAGGTTACAACTCTGTAACAATATATATATATTTTATAAACATCTTAATAAAAAATAATTAAATTAACCTATCATTTAATGACAAGCCTAACATCTAATATTATTTGAACTATAAAAACCAACTTTATTAAAAAAAATACATAACAAACTAAATTAACAATTCAAATTTAACTAAAACCAAATACTATTACAACTCACTCTAGTCATAGTGAAGTCTTTGAGCAGAAAAAGTTATCACTATAATTTGTATCAAGGGAATACTATATGTACTTCACTATATCAAGAGTTTGCTATAATGAAAATAAGTTGTATAATGTAAAATTAAAAATAATTAAATACAAAATCTTGTAAAAAGTTTAAATAAAATACAAAATTTTAAACTAAAAAATATTAAAAAATATATTTTTTTAAATATTATAAAAATATTTATAATTTAATTTGTAAATAAAAATATTTGCATGCTCAATTTTAATACAAGCAATATTAATTTCAAAACCGCATTATCAAGTATTAAAAAATCTATAAGTTTTCTATTTAATTTACATTTTTGATTGCTATAGATCCGATAATTATATTAAGTATTTCATCATGATCATTAATATTATTATTTATTTTGTAATACTATTATTTTAATACCAAAAATTATTAGCAATAAAAATATGTAAGTTTAACAAATATAAATCTTTATTATAACAAACCTTTTTTATACAACTAAGATCCGTAAACTTTGAAAAATCATCCAAAGAAGATTCTTCACCATCGATTAATGTATTTAAATGAGACTTTATCTATTATTAACAAATACAAAATTGAAATTTATTTTCGTTTTTGTAAAAGAACATATTTTTTATATTTTTTATATAATTACCTCATCATCATCATTACCACCCACTTTTACAACAATAATCTCATTTGTAGAATCTGAAATACCAAACCTTCTCAATGATTCGCTAATCTAATAAAAATGTTAGTCAAATAAACAAAGTAATTAATCAAAAAAAAAAAACTTACATTAGTAGTTGGAGAAAGATTATAAACGATTTCAGAATGTACATTATGAGTTTTCAATTTAGAATAATTTTCAGAATGTACTGCATTATTGACTGCGACTAATAATTGAAATTTGTCTAACACCTATTTTATATTAGTTTCGAATAAAATAAAAATATAATCTTATAATATGGAATGTAAAAAAAAAATACCATTTTTGCATCAATAAAAGCGTATTTTAATTCATGATCATGTGATAATAGTCTTTTTTTTAATTCTGCCGAATTCTTCACATTAGTATATAACGCAATGTGGATTTGTCCACTTGACGGATAAAGTTCTAATGAATAGGATTGCATCAGTACAAGCTTACAAAACGTAAAGTAGATAAATGTTTTTTTTAAATAACGTTACATGCTAAAAATGGAGATGAACGATTTGCACAAATTACCTCATCAGATGACAAGCCACTAGTTCAATCATTAATCTACATTACGATAATATAAAAATTTTAAAAATTGATTCGCATAATTCAGTTAATAACATGTGTGGAATTCTATTCCGCTTGCGAAAAAATTCGAACTCGGATGATGGAAATTCGTTCCACAAAGATTTATGGAATCAATTAATTGTTAAAAATACACAACGTGGTATTTTGAATCTCTTTAGAATTTGATTAGTTCATGAGTTTCTTTTAAAATAAAAAAATAACAATAATACTATAAATAAAATTTCATTACGTTAGGTCCTGATATCCAATACCAATTTTCTGAATCATTAAATAATATTAAATTGGACTTTTTTGGTGCAGTATTGCATCTGCGTGGAAAATCTGTTATTAAACAACCTTTAATAGATAGTGATCAAAATATTTTATTATGGAATGGTGAAATTTTTGACGGTTTAGAGGTATATAATTTCATTATTGAAATAACACTTTTTTTTCAAAATTAAATGAATTAATAGTATATACGTGTATAACTTCAGGTGCCTTTTGGAGAAAATGATACAATTTGTTTAGCAACTGTCTTAAAAGATAGTGAAAATGTTAGTGAGATTAATGATAATAATGATGTTCTTAATGTTCTTCAAATGATTGAGGGACCATACTCAATTATATACTGGCAGGTTAATAGATCATTGATTTATAATTTTTGTTTATAATTTTTTTTGAAGCATTTTATCTAAAGTTGAATCTAATAGAGTTCAAAACGAAAACTATGGTTTGGACGTGATTGTTTAGGAAGACGTTCGTTATTATGGCATATTCCTTCTGGTGAAGAAGATAGTTTTTTGTTAACTTCTGTGGGTTGTAAGATACCACATGGCTTAGAACATGTTGAAGCGATTTCTTATTTTCAGGAAGTTCCTGCTGATGGTATCTATTGTTTGGACATTGATTCCATGTTATCATCGGGTACTTTAGGTAACATTTCTTAAAAATGGCCAGTTATTTTTTATTATCTAAAATATTCATTATATTTATTACTTAATGCTTTAGGATCTTTTGAAAAATTTCTAACACATTTCAAATGGTATTTCTCTATAGAAGAAATTATTCTCGTTTAGTTTTATTACTTTTTTGTAATTTAATTTTATTTATTAATGATACTGTGGTTTATTTATGCGAAAAAAAATACTTTAAGGAATTTGCCATTTGGTAGATTAAATAGCACACTTCCGAACTTGAACAAACTTCCGTCAATTTCTCTAGAATCTACATCGAATCCTTTTATTCCAGCGATATCTTTAGAAATGGAACAAGCTATTAATCAAATGATTGATGTGTTGGGTGATTCTGTGCGCCGACGTGTTTTTGATATTCCACGAATAGGGTAATTACAATTTTTTTTTTGTCAATATTATATAATTAGATAGAACAAACCTCATTAAATAAGTTAATTAGTTTAGGGGACAACAAGATGCTAGTGTGGCGATATTGTTTTCTGGAGGATTAGATTGTATTTGTCTTGCTGCGTTAGCAGATAAATATATTCCACATGAAGAACCGATAGACTTACTAAATGTGGGTTTTGAGAACCCTAGAATACAACAAACATTATCACGAAAAAAGAAAAAGACTACGGCAGAAAGTGATAAAAGTAAATCGATTTATGATGTTCCTGATAGATTAACTGGTCGTCAAGGTGTTGAAGAATTGAGGTATTTTAATTAATAAACTTTTATGTTGAAATAGGAATATTGGTAATCTTTATTTATTTATTTATTAGGAAAATTTCACCAAACAGAATATGGAATTTTGTTGAAGTGAATGTTCCTTATGAACAAGTTGGTCAATATAAAGGTGAAATTCTAGAATTAATGTCACCATCAGATACAATTATGGATTTGGTATGTTTTTCCAACGAATTTTAATACTTAGATAATTCTTAATTCTAATCTTATGTTTATTTTATTTATTTAAATTATTGAGTTAGAGCATAGCAATGGCTTTTTGGTTCGCTGTAAGAGGTCATGGTATGTATTGTAATTTGGTTAAAATATTTTGACATTGGTCAGTTATTTACATGCCATCATTTGTAGGTCAAATTGCACGTTCTGATGGTTCAGAGGTAATGTCTATTCTAAGTTGGGTTATATATGTTTCAAAAATTTTTAACATTTATATTATTAGGAAATGATAAGATTTGAAAGCAAGGCAAAAGTAATACTTATTGGAGTAGGTGCAGACGAATTACTTGCTGGATATTCACGTCACCGTGAAGCTTTTAATCAAGGTGGCTGGGAAAGATTGATTCAAGAGGCAAGTGCAATTTCCGCATATGTATTGATGCGTTTCTAAGAAATTTATTATATAAACATTGAATACATTCTCTTTTTTATAATAATCATCTTAGGTACAGTTAGATGTAGATAGAATATCGACAAGGAATCTAGGTAGGTGCCAAATTTTATGTTACGGGGTCGCATAAGAACTATTTTTTTATCCTTTTATTTTTGTAAGTAGAATTAACTCAGTTACATCGTTTAATTGTTAATTTAGGTCGGGATGATCGTGTAATCACATCACATTCCAAAGAATCTAGGTTTCCTTATCTTTCCACCAATGTCGTGTCATTTATCTGTTCGTTACCAATGCACATTAAAGCTGATATGAGGTTTCCAAGAGGCACGGGTGAAAAATTACTGTTACGTCATGTTGCAAGAAGATTAGGGTTAATCAATGCTAGTACGCTTTGGAAAAGAGCGATACAGTTTGGGGCCAAAACTGCAAAGATGACCAATGAAAGGAGGGGTGAAAAAGGAGATATGAAAGTTGAATATGAATGAAAGAAAAATAGATCAAGAGGTTATACGTGAGGTATACGTGAAGTATACGTAATGGTTTTTTTTTAGAAATAAAATACTTTAATTTTCAAAAAAATGCTGTTTTTAAGTTAATTAGATTAATTAGACAATAATTTTTTACTCTAAATCTTTGAACAAGTTTATTTGAAATTATTATTTATTTAAATAATTTTGGTAATTTAAATTATTCCTAACAAAAAAACAAAAAAAAGTAATTAAAACTATCAAAATTTATTAGTTTTAATTAAGGCGAAGTTTATATCGAAAATTTGCAAAAAGTTTATAAATAAGGTCAAAATTATATAAACTGAGATACATATTGGAAAATTTGTTGAAATTAACCAATAACTTTTAACGCTTTGGATGATCCGACAATTAAAATGTTCGTCTCAATGAGACGAACATTTTGATGGTTGAATCATAAAAGCATCAAAAGTTATTGGTTAATTTCAACAAATTAGCCGAAATAAATTGATGACTGAATCGATAATTTATGGATGCCGGCCGAATTAGAAACTTATCGTTGTTACAAATTTATGAAAACATAACCAATCGAGTCAACTTTTTGTAAGTCTTTGATAATCGAGTGTCTTTTTATAAAAGTAAAAAAAAAAAAAAAAAAGATTTACAGCTGTTTTCGTAAACTCTGCAAAAATCGACCTACTGAATATTTGCTGATTCGATATTTTTGATTCGGATGTAATACATTCGAATCAAAAGTTTATCACTGCCGAATCAAAACTTATCGAATCGGCAAATAATCGGTCGGTCAATCTTTGCCAGATTTTCCAGAATTTGCTGTAAAGATTTAGGTTACCGGGTCTCCAGACTTAATGTTGCTAAAATTTTTACAACCTGCCTGACATCTTGCATTAAATCATGGTCTAAATGATTTACACAATTCTGGTAAAAATTTCTTTACACTGCTATTGACAAAGTTGATGGTTGGTGTAACATGATAATCAAAATATTTACTTAACGTAGCCAACATACGTATTTCTTTTTTTTTTCTCACTTCTTCCTTTATTATCTTTCTTGTTTAAGGCCTAGTAGTTCTGGACGGAAAATGCGACCACATATAGAAAACTTCTTAGAACTAATAGTTCACAAAGAAAAAAGCAACTTATCTATGCTTATTATTTTGGAGTTTAAAGTAACACTATGGGTAAGAAATCGCTTTAAATAAATATTATAGATATTTAAAGTCTATAGCTTACTTTATATTATTTTTTTTTTTTAAAAAAAAAGACCAAATTTCATATCGATTCAAACTACGCCCAACGTATTATCTTTCAGTGGAGTGTATGCCATCTTATGGCTTCGAATTATACTTTTTGAAGCTACGAATAATTTATAAATTATTTATAAAAAGTAAAATTCATATAATTTTTTAAATGTTAATGAAAACTTTTTATTATAATACGTAGCTAACACTTTTGATTATTTATCTTTACTATTATTATTTAAGAAATGATAGAAGGTACACCACCTACATATATTGAACTTTACAAACGATGTTGGGACAGCAATTCTGTCCAGAAACAAAAAAAATTCTCGATACTTTGAAACAACTTATTCCTAACGAAACTTTGGTCAACATAATCCAATGTTGTATCATTATATTTATTTAAAACTAAATTTATATGTTTTTAATAATATGGTTGCACGATGCAGTTGCGGAGGAAATTATGAAAAAGATGATATTGGGTATGAGTACCAGTCATTTTTTTTTTGTTTTGTTGTTTTTTTTTTGTTTTGTTACTTATTTGTTTTTTTTCTTTGCAGGTTTTGTGCTTCGTCAAGAAGGGTTAATGGAGTCGGGATTCAGATCTTGGATCTAGATCTTTGGATCTAGAACTGGTACCAAGATAAATATAAATGCTTTCGATGCATACATAAAAAATAATTCAATAAAAAAAAGGCTTTATTTTGGATCGATTATATGTACTATATTAGAAATTTTAGTTTTTGTTTAATAAATTAATAAATCAATAAATTAATAAATTCGAATTTTATAAGTGAATCTTTTAAAATGATACAGTTTTTAAATTGCATATGATCTCTTTAAAAAAACTTCGTAATTCAATAAAATTTAATAATATTAATAATATTTTGTACTAAATAAAATGATTTTAGCACAATGGTCGAAAAAAAAAATCTAAAAATGATTGATTACAATTATGCATTTTATAAATTGAGAAAGGTTGATTCAATTTCGATGATTCTGTGCTTAAATGAATGCTGCAAACTGTAGAATGTATTTAAACGAACTAGTCTTTCCTGAAAATATAGTCATTAAACAAAGCTAAATATTAAATTAGAATTGGAAGTAGTGGAAATAAGTAATTGTTTTGGTTTTGCCAAAATAATACGCTTTTAATAATTTTTATTTTAAACGAATGCTATGAACATTGGCATAAAAGAAACTCGTGATTGTAGATTCCAAAATATGGATAATATGAAAATTTGATATATTGTATATCGTTGTAATCTGAAAACTGAGAATTTCACTATCCGTTTACTCATGATAAGTTAAACTAAAGATACCCATATTTATTAATAAATTTTATCGTTTAAAGTGTTTCTAGTAGAAAATTGTATTCAATCGCTTTTCCTATAGAATTTTCATAAGAGCAAAATACTAGTATAAGATTTTATACATTTATTAAATAGGCTAAGCAATATAAAACGTTTAATAAGGTCTATTTATTCGAAAAAAGAGTATATATTTATTAAACAAAGAAGAAAACTAAGATCTTTGATATATCTAATTGATATAGATCAAAGCATATAGCAACATGTTTTTGATATAAAATAGTTTAAAAAATAGACTAGAATTACTTTAGCATTAAGAAGGCCTCGCTTTTGTTAATAATAAGTTCGTCTGATTGGCTGATGTAAATCAATTGCCCGGGTAACTTATAACGTTTCACTGATAAAAAATCACTGAAAAAGCATTTTTCACATTGAAAGAACGATTATATTCACTGTGCAAAAATAATCAGAAATAATCAGTAAATCCAAGAACTTTACTTAGAATACAAAGCATGCCTACTGTGTGAAGGTAATTGGATGAAGTATTATTTCTAACCGTTTAATTTGAATAGGTACAAGATCTCGTACGTAAATTTTTAATGAATTTGGGTTATCAGTCATAAATAACACATTTACCCACTTTACGTGTATCTATTCATTCTTTAAATATAAGTAATACATTTTTTTTTTGCGTGTATTTATTAATTTGTAAGCTTCTTTTATGCAAAGTTTTTTTTTTCGTTTTCTAATAAAATTATATATTTTAATTTTAGGCACACATCATAATAATGACGTCAAATCGATTTAAATTATTTTAGGCAACCGAATAATTGGTTGTGAGAGCAATTATTTGAACCCAATTAATTGATTGGTGGCGCAATTTTTGCATAAAATATGTAATAAAACATGAGTATGTTTGTAGATATTTGATGGCAAAACTTTGTAACTTAAAAAAAAAAAGAGAATCAAATAATCACTTTTTTTGAATTAAAATTGTACAAATCACAAGAATATTAATTTTCAAAGACAGTATTCTAAGGTGTTCTCAAACACTTCAATCAATTGATCGGAAGCAAAATTTTAATTAGTCGGAAATTGAATAAACCAAACGAGTGATTATCATTTCGATAAATAAAACGTAGACCATCTTTTTTCATAGAGTTGCTCTGATTGGCTAAAATTTAGAGCCCGCATTTCGCACAATGAATTTTTAACAAGTTTTCTTCATCTCAATAATTAGCTATTCACATTGAGGAGGCTGCTTGAGAACATTCTAAATCTTTTTTTAAAATCGGTTCCAAAGTTCCGAACAAATATTACATAGATGTTTTTTTAGACCTCCAAATGATGATCATCTTACATTCGTTCGACAATGCCTTTTTTAGACCTTGAAATGATGGCAAATATCGGTGTAATTTATGTCCTTCCGATCATAGCCAATAATAAAAAAAAAAAAAAGAAACGGTTTATATAAATTTAATGAATCATTTAGATGCAGGTACAGTTAATGACAATGTATTTCTGTATTTGAATATAAACAGTTTTTTTCAATTTCTTAAAATTTTACATTATCGCGAAATTTATATTAAAGGTAAAAATTGCAATTAATTTCGCAATTAAATTAAATTGCAATTCTTTTTTGTAACAATTTTAGTTGATAGTAATTACATAAAAATTGTGTTGTAATTAATTTTTCGGTACCCCTGTTATGTATATGTTTAACTATTTATTCTGGTCTAATAGTAGTAATTTCGTCTCTTAGAAAACAATTAAGAAAGGATTGATAGAAATTTTTTTGGATTCAAATTTTTCATAATGTCGGGATGTCATGTGACTGCGTCCTAGACTGGATATCGCAGAATTTGCAGAAACTTTTGAATTCATTTATTTTTGCAAAATTTGGATTTTATTACGGATAATTACAAAATTGACCTAAAATTTAACTAAGGTCCAAACAAAGTGAAGAAATAGAATTCTTATTGCAAAAAAAAATATTTTGCAGATAATCGTAGAATAATCACCGCAGAAAATCATCGTCCCTGCGTTGGAACTCATACAGGGATCTTTTACAGGGTGATCATCGGATTTAGGCTGGAATTTAGCAACACAAGTCAACTATTTTTGGACAAAATTATCAGCTGGGCAGCTTTACTTAATAAGTGGGCCATGACTTCATTAGTAAACTTTTAGTGATCTTGGTTAATTCCGGCTCTGTCGACCTAATTCCGACCCGGAATTTTGGTGATCCCCTGTTAAAGGTCAAATTTGTGAAAATCTTGATTTTGGTTAAACGTTAAAGCGATCTCGTGAACACCTCATATGGTTTTTTTTTTTTTATTATATTTTTATTAAACGATAAATAAATAAATTTCTGTATAATATATAATCAACTATACGTACTATTTTATATATAATATGTATGAGTATAACACCACTACGTACTACGT